CGACCACAGAGAGACCCACCTACCAAATGGATTCGGCTCCTATCCTCTGTTCTTCAGTCCCTGTTATGGTGGACAGAACCAGCCAATTTAAATGTCGGTGTCCCGTTTCGACCTCGGTACCCTACAGTGACTCTCGGTACCGACCCTTTCTTCTCGGATGGGGAGCCATTTGCTCCGACCTCCATAGCCAGGGGGTTTGGAGTCCCCGGGATTCCAGGAACCACATCAACTTCCTGGAACTTCTTGCTGTTTTCAAAGCCCTGCAATTGTTTGAGGATGTACTTCTTCACCAAATTGTCCAGGTGACTTCGGACAACATGGCTACGGTCTTTTATTTGAACAAACAAGGGGGAACCCGGTCCCTGAAACTAGCCCGCCTGTCGATACCAATTTGGGACTAGTGCATACCGAGAGGTATTACTCTTCTAGCAGTACATATTGCGGGCACGGACAATGTAGAGGCAGATCTCTTGAGCAGACATATGTCGCGGTCACACGAATGGGAACTGGACCGTTGGGTTCGCGACAGACTGTTTCACCTCTGGGGTCCGCCAGACATAGACCTGTTTGCCACCTGACAGAACAGGGTGTGCATGAACTATTGTTCCAGAGCGGGGATAGGACAGGGGTCATCCGGGGACGCCTTCATGATTCCCTGGAACCACATGACCTTTTACGCTTTCCCACCGATCCCCCTCATCATGAGAGTGTTGGCAAAGATCATTCATGAAGGGGCCACAGGGCTACTGATAACCCCCTGGTGGCCACGCCAACCATGGTTCTCAACTCTCCTTCATATCTCTCGGGAGGATTTTCTTCAACTTCCTCTTCTTCCTTATCTCATTACCCAGAGGGAAGACATGATCCGACACCCAGACCTATTATTTATTTATTTATTTATTTATTTATTTATTTATTAAAACATTTCTATGCAGCCCCTTGCCGTAGCCTATTGTTGCTGAAACTGACTGCCTGGAGGATCCGATAACCGTATGTGCTGCACCGGTATCAACGCCACCGGCAATCCCTACTACCTCTACCTCACAAACTTTACATCCAGATCTGCAATATATTTTTGAATCTGCATTAAGGCCATCCACTAGAAAGTCGTATGCAGCGAAATGGCGTAGATTCTCCAGCTTTGCCGAATCTCACTCGTTTCTGGCGTCATCAGCGTCGGTTCAGCAGATTCTTCAATTCCTCTTCGAATTGCACCAGTCTGGACTTAAACCTTTTTCCATAAAAGTATATACAGCAGCACTTTCTTACTACCGTGGAACTGTGCAAGGTTTCTCTATTTCTTCTCAATCTTTGATTAAAAGATTTTTGAGAGGATTGGGTAACCTCCATCCAACAATAAAGCCTCTAATGCCCACTTGGAGTCTTTCAGTAGTTTTACAGGCACTGACTCGACCACCTTTCGAACCCATGGTGACAATTGATCTACGCCTTGTCTCATGGAAGACTGCTTTCCTCGTAGCAGTTATTTCAGCTGATAGATCTTCTGAGCTTTGTGCCCTTAGGGTAGGCACCCCTTTTCTGAATTTTCATAAGGAAAAGGTAGTTCTACGGCTGGATCCATCCTTTCTTCCTATGATCGCTACTTTGTTTCACATGCAGCAAGAGATCGTTTTACCAGCATTCTTTCCAACTCCTTCAAATCCGATAGAGAGGTCTCTGCATATGCTGGATATTCGTCGTTGCTTAGCCTTTTATAGGTCCAGGACTGAGTCTGTTCAACACTCCAATAGACTTTTTGTTAAATACTCAGAACACGACCGGGGCTATTCGGTCACTTCCCAACGACTTTCCAAATGGATAGTAAAAACAATTGCTCTGTCTTACCAGTTTGCTAAATTGGACTTACCATCTACTCCAAGAAGTCATTCTACAAGGGCTGTTGCTGCTTCTTCGGCCTTTGCATCGGGAGTCCCGATGGAAGTCGTCTGCAGAGCTGCCACTTGGGCTACCCCGTGTACCTTCGCCAGACATTATAGACTTGATGTTCGTGCCAGACAAGATTGCTCTTTTGGCAGGGCTGTTCTTTCTTCTATTCTTCGTTGATGACACCTCCCTCCTCCAGTTTGGGTAAGCTTTTATTCTACCCATATGCGTGATGCACAGAGGCCACGACGAAGAAGAACAGGTTGCTTACCTGTAACTGATGTTCTTCGAGTGGCCATCTGTGCAGTCACACAACCCACCCTCCGACCCCGCTTGGTGTCATGGATGGTCCAACTTCCTTCTCTTCGATGCTAGGATCTCTTTAGCTATTTGTCGTACCACTGAAGTTTTGGTTTTTGCCATACTGACAATAACTTTATTAAGGGAGCGAACGTCGGTCTTTCAAAGACTGGAAAATGGCGGATACTCTGCTCCTTATATAATACTAGGGGGGAGGGGGAGCGGAGTTCCCGCCAAAAACTCGTTAGCTGTTAATCTTCCAGCCAAAGGCTCTGTGCAGGTGCAGAACCCATATGTGTGACTGCACAGATGGCCACTCGAAGAACATCAGTTACAGGTAAGCAACCTGCTCTTCTCGGCTCTCATGGCGATAAGCTCCGCTGTTTATTTTCCTGTATTCCAATGCTGTACCATCCTAATTAGCAAGTGGCTTCCCTTGCATGATGGAGGGCCTCAACTGAGTCTCCAAAGATGAGGCCCCGCCAAGGTAGGAAAATAAGGGTAATTGTGTTACACCACCTATACAATAGTCTTCTGGCAATTTTCCTCTACAACTATTGAAATCCATTTCAGTTGAGTTTCAGGCTTGGCTTTGAAAGGGTAACTCACTTGGTCACCCTGTGGGATGACCTTTGCTGGGAGAGAGGTGACAGAGTGTGACCCTGTTGATTCTCATGGAAGTCTCAGTGGCTTTTGACACCATCAACCATGCCATGGTGTCCTTCTGGAAAGGCTTCCTGGGTTGGGAGTTGCAGTGGTTCCACTCCTAACTAGCTGACTGATTCCATAAGTTGGTGCTCTGCAGCATGACAGTTATGCCATGTGGTAGTTCAGGGCTCTATTTTATCCACCATGCTGTTTAATATCTGCATAAAATTGCTGGGAGAGTTTATCTGGAGGCAGGGGCTGACATGTCATCAATATGCAGATGAAACCCAGCTCAACAGTGGCAGTTCTGAATCAGTACCTGTATTTGGTAATAGACTGGATGTGGGCCAGTTACCTGAGATTCAACCCAAACAAGATGGAGGTCTGTCCAGTTGGTAGATTTTCAAGTTGTCTTGGATGGGGTCACACTCCCCCTGAAGGACGAAGTTTGTAATTTGGAGGTTGTTCTAAACCATGGGTCCTCAAACTATGGCCCACAGGCCGAATCCGGCCCATCATGCCCATTTAGCTGGCCCTTGTAGAGGTTTTGGACTTGCCGCAAGTGTGCACATGCCCAGTGGCGGCTTGCTCACAAGGAGATCGTTTTCTCTGAGCGAGTCCAAAACGATCTCTGCACGAGCAAGCCGATGCCTTGCTGTGCAGCGGCTTGCTCACATGATCGTTTTGGACTCACTCGGAGAAAACAATATCCGTGGGCGCCCATGTGCCCCCCGCTCCGGCCCAGCCAGCGCCCTCCACCCGCACTGCCTTGGCGGCCTGCACCCATCACTGGCACCTTTCAACTGGCCCCCTGTTGAAAAGTTTGTGGACCCCTGTTCTAAACCCTGAATTGTCTCTGGAGTCACAAGTGAACTCAGTGGCAAAGAGCACACTTTATTAGCTTTGGCTGTTTTACCAACTATATCCCTATTGGACAGGCTACATGCTCCACTTTTATTGTATATATTTTAAAATGTTATTTTAATTTTTTGTTGTAAGCCGCCCCGAGGCTTCGGCGAATGGGGCGACATAAAAATGTTTTAATAAATAAAAAAAAAATACTTGGGGTTGACTTTGAAAATGTTCCAGAAATAGCAGCTTATTCAGCTATCAGTGGGGATGTCGAGATTACATCATGCCAGTCCCCTTTCAGCTGCATTGGCTGCCAGTTGAAGTGCAGGACCAGTTCAAAGTGCTTGTTCTAACACGGTTTGGGGCTGGGTTATCTGAAGTAATGTCTTATCCCATGTGTTCCTACCTGACCTTTAAGATAATCTGCTGAGGTCCTTTTCGGCAATCCCCCCCCCCCCCGCCACAAAGAAGTAAGTGGGGAGGCAACTAGGAGAAGGGTCTTTTTAGTCGTGGCACCCCATGCCTGGAACATCCTCTGCAGAGAGGTATGCCTGGCACCATCATTGCGATCTTTTCATCGCTAGGTGAAATTCTTTTTATTTTCCGTGATTTTAACAGCTAAGTGCTAGTTTTAAATACTGTTTTATTATTTGCTGCTGTGCTGAGGTGGGGTGGGCATGTAGAATTATTGTAGCTGCTGCAGTTGTGGTCTTGTGGTTGGTGCATTGTTTATTGTCTTATTGTTTATTTAATATGAGTATTTTATGAATTGTATTTATAACTTTGAAATTTATAAACCTCCCCAAAAGCCTGTGGGCAATGGATTGCTATAGTAATGTAATAAATAAGTAAATAGTGAAAGTTAATTGTGGCTAGCATTCATCTCAGTGGATGCAACACTAGCTGTACTAGTGCTCAGCGAGGGAGGAGTTTGAACAGTTGGTGAGGGAGTATACAAATCAGGAGTGCATTCCCACTCATGTAGTCATAAATACTTTGTGCACTAAGCTTCTAATTGTTATGTCCCATCATGCTTGTTTTAATAAGAATCACTTAACTCTTCCCCTAGGTTATAGCATTTTTATTGTTGTTTTTATATATAATAAGTTAATTTATTGCTTTGCTGTTTGTCAGACATAAACTAAACTAAACATTTTTTGTTCCCATGCTTTGAAACAGAGTGTCAGTTTAAATAGAATTGCTGTAGTATTGGTATACATGCATGCTCTTATGTGTAAGCAGGAAGTTCTTATTACATGTGAATGGATGTATTATAATGAAGTTAATTCTAATAGTGTAATTTTTATTAAATATAGTGCCTTTACTTTCCCGAATTCTGCCTTCTGATGCATGTAAAATATACAAACAAGGTATAAATATCAGGTAAGAATAATTTAAATCTTTGGATTGTGCTAATATACATTGCTAAAAGATTTGATTTGAACTCCCAAGGGTTAATATTCCTTTTCTTTCTGTGACTTAATTCAGATATTCCAAAATTTCATACCCTGTAGGGATGACAGGGAAGAGAGTTTTTTTGGGGGTTGGATGTTCTATGTTTCTCTGCAATCCTTTAATTGCTCCAAAAAGTTGTTCCTAAATATTGAGGGATGCTTCACGGTGGTGTCTGGTGCAATATAAGCCTTTATGCCTAAGAGAGAAATTGCTGCAGCTCCTGCCTTACCCTCAGACACGTGTTGAATTATCAGTAAGGAAAATGGCCTCTCAAAATAATTGTACCAATGTGATCTATTGTATTACAGAAGCATGATTATCATGACAGACACAATAACTATGGGAAAGAGACATTATGCTCTGAATGGTTCAATATGTGTAGGTCATGGGCCTGTCCATATTTGGAAGAGTTGTAATACATGGAGATAGGCTTCTTTTTTTTACTTAATCCTAAATGCCTTTATGTTATACAGTGAATTAACTATTAGCTCAAATAGTAATACCTTTTTTGGAGTCTGAACTCTTGTACCTTTGATCTACAAAAACTTTCAATATAATAAATTATTAAGATTTATTCTGTAAAGCAGCTCACTGTGAGGCTTTTAATATTAATAACAGAATGTTTGGATTTTTAAGGCTAGAGCTTGCTTAGGGTTCACCCTCAGCACAGTTTCCTTGATGATAATTAAATCCAATAGAGGCTGTGAAGATTTTTCCAGAGCAGATATGGAAAGCTGAGGGCTGAACTGACCTGTTCCTCGGCAAGTAGCTCTAATCAATCCCTAATAGACATTTAGGAATCCTTCAAGTTATTATGAGTTTCTGAACATGTAACTAGAACCTCTATATAATACATGAAAAAATGTATTCTTGACAGTTTGTGTCTTGATCCATAGAGTCCTGAATTTTTGCTTGTTTAAGTAAAATGTAGGAATCAGTATAATTCCAAAGCCTATGTCTGAGAGAAATAGAAACATAGTGAGTCAGAAAGGGTCTCCTAGGCTATCTAGTCTGACCTCCGGCACAAACCAGCTCTGCTCATATAATGTCCAACATGTGGCTGTCCATCCAATCTTTCCTTGATTGCCCTCACTGATGAGGCCTCCACCACCTACTTTGGAAGCCCATTCCAAATCCTAGGGGTTCTAACCATCAGGAATCACTTCCTGACATCCAACCTGAAACCCAGTTCCTTTAACTTTGCTCCATTGGATCACGTACTTCCCTGCACCACTGGGGAGAATGGGACATGATCCTCCAGTGTGTGACACCCCTTCACATACCTGTATGTTGCTATAAGATCCCCTTGGAGTCTCCTCTTCTCCAAGCTGAAAAGTCCCAGTTCCCTCAATCTCGTCTCATATGGCATCTCTCCCCTGCAAATCCAGCTACCATTCTTGTAACCCTGCGATGAACTGATTCCAACCTTACTATGTCCCTCTTGTAATGTGGAGCCCAGAATTGGACACAATACTCCAGTTCTGGGTGCATCAGAGTCTTATAGAATAGCACTAGCACCTCTCTCGACCTGGAAGCCATGCCTTTGGCTATATATCCAAGGATGACTTTGCCCTCTTAACTGCTGTGTCACACTGCTGACTTATGTTTAGCCTGCTGCCTACAAGTACCCCAAGATTCCTTTCACATGTGCTACTTTCCAGCCACTTGTATGCCATCCTGTACCTATGACACCTATTCCTGTGTCCCAGGTACAAGACTTTGCACTTATCTGCACTGAACCCCACCTGTTGTTCCCTGACCACGTCCACTGTCTATCAAGACCCTTTTGGATCTGGAATGCCTTCTCCTCCATTTTGGCCACTGCCCCCACTTTGGTATCGTCTATAAATTTGGTCAACTGACTGGTTACCCCCTCATCCAGGTCACTGATAAAAATGTTGAACAGAATCTTTCTCAGAAATGAGCCCTGGGGGACTCCACTTGTCACTGGTTGCCATCTTGATGACTCCTCACTGATAGTTACTCTCTGCTTGCAGTCTGTCAACCATGCCCTAATCCATTGGATAGTGCATCAATCTATCATGGATCTCATCAGTTTCTCAACCAGGATATCACGTGGGACCTTGTCAAAGGCCCTGCTGAAATCCAGGTAAACCATATCCACCATGTCCTCCTCCATCTAGCCACCTCAAAACCTTGGCATAGAACTCCACAAGGTTCATCTCACAGGACTTATTTTTTGCAGAAGCCATGTTGTGTGACTGCCGACCTCCCTTCCCTATCTAGGGTTTCTAGAGCTTTCCCTGTTATGAGCTTTCCCATTGTCGTTCCTGGAATGTACATTAGGCTGACTGACCTGTAATTCTCCTTGCCCTTCTGCTACCCTTTTTGAAAATTGACACCACTGGCGCCACCCTGCCATCCTCCAGAATCCTGCCAATTCCCGAAATACCCTTGGGTGTAACCCATCAGGATTGGGTATATCCTTTTTTATATTCTGAGGAGCTCCTCAGGTTCTAGGTGAAGGACTCTAATCTGTGCATCCATAACCCCAACCTCATCTGCCCACCCCTGGTACATCTCCCTCATACTGCTTTGGGGAGAATAGAGTAGCAAAATAATAATTTAACATCTGTGCCTGTTCCCCATATATCAGCTACTGGATCCTCTCCCTCTCTTTTAAGAGACCCCTCTGCCTGTCTCCCCTTACTCTTACTATTTACATAACAATACTATGTAAAAGCCCTTCTTGTTGCCCTTGACATTCTTCACAAGTCTCAGCTCAAAATAAACTTTAGTCTTGTGAAGAGTCCTTCTGTATCAAGCCTCCTCCTCCTCGTATACCCTTTTGTGCACTTGGTATAGATTGTCCTGTTACTATCAGTACATACAACTGAACAATATATGGGTTATTCTACCTACATTTGTTTGAAAAAACAAAACAAAACTTTCTTGTAAGTTTGTGGAACTCACTACTACAGTTTTTCATAAATATTTCATGGTTAGGAAATGCTACCTCAGCTATAAAAATTTGAGCTCTGTTGCCAAAATAAACTAGCTAAAATTTTTTTCAATAGCCTTTTCCCATATGACTAGACATGGGGTTGCCACCAACTCTAGAGGCAACCTTTCAACCTGAAAAAAATGTTTTAAGGAGAAATATTTACAAAAGGGAATACAATTACTCTTCAAATAATTTGAGATATTTGCTGAAATGTTCTTACATTAAATGTTTGCTTACAATTCCCTGTAGGCTAGTTAATAAAGCTTCTCCTTCAGTCCAGTTTTTCCTGAATTCTACCAGTACCACAAATAAGAATAAATGCTGTATGCCAGCCTTCCTTTGTCCCCAGCTTTTGCTGCTATGTTTAACTTTTAGTATGATTCAGATGTTTCAGGATCTAGTTGCTGTGGTTTCCTTTGGTCAGATGTCAACTGAAAACCTAAAATGTTTTATGTGTAACTTGGTTTGCTTATGAAATTAAAATCTTTGGTAAGTATAGTTTAGTAAGACTAAAACTTAATGAGTAAGGCAAGTTATGTGCAATATATTTTTGTTCCTAAAATAAGAAAATGAGTTTAATGGATCTGTAAAAGATGCTAAAAATGGTTGTGAACATTTCCTCTTTTCATACAAGAGATAAATGCCAGCCTTTTCTATAGCTTTATACATTCTGCTCATTTTGCTACTCTGTAGTCACACATTGAGGACACAAATGCTTAGAAAAAGTCATGCAGCATGGCCACTGAGGAATGCGCAAATGTTTTTTTCTGACTAAACGTTTGAAGGATTGCATCCTGAGCTACCTTTCAAGATTCTGCTCTGGTATTGATTTCTATGACTAATACTAGTTTCCCCTTTTTTATATCATCAGCATTTTGAAAAGCCTAGCTGTGACTTCTTACGGCTGGCCATTACTATGCAGACTGTAACTACCACTCCCCCCCCCAAAGTGCCCCCCCCCCAAATAGACTAGGGGAGAGAAAGAGGCAAGTGAAGAATAGGTCAGGGCCTGCCCCAGTTGGGCTTTTCACAGGCCACTTAACACCAACTGATTTATGAGAAGTATTTTAGAGGTAGAAGAAGGCAGATAAGGATAGCAACAGATTGCTATTGTTAGATTGCAGGTTGATTCTTTTGACTCTTCCAGGAGCCATCTATTACCAGCTACCTTGTGGAAAGGATCTTGATGAATTTTTAATATTATTTATTGTGACCTTATTACTATTAGTGAAACTTGTAAACTGCTTTGGTAGGATTTATATCCTGAAAGTATAATATAAATAAGTGAAATAAATAAAAAATAATCATAGAGTTCAATAAGATTAACAACAGGGCACAGTATTGGGCTGATGGCTGCAGAACAGTCTGAAAAGTAAAAATTTGAACATCTTCTGAAACCCACCATTTATGGTGATTCCAGTTTTTAATTTTTGATATCCCCTCCAGCAATATGGGCTGAGAATCTTATTCATGCAATATGACTTTAATGGCACATAGTGTGCAGGATGGGTCTCTGTATCGTTTGGTGGATATGGTCTCTATATATTGGCATAGCTGCCTATTTGATGATAGATTTCTAATTTTAAACAAATGAAGATAACTTTTTAATGTTTACATAAAATGTATTTAGATTGCCTGTGAAAGGGGCAAAAGGGAAACTTTTAAAGTTTTGAACATAATAGAAAGCCTTGTCTCTTAGACAAAGTGGAAAAAAGTTTCAGTCTGGTTATATGTGAAATTTTGCATGGCAGCCTTGTCTCAATTAGATTTCAGTACTAGTATAGACTGTAGTGTCCAAACTGGAGACTTCTCTCTCTTCTCACAAGTCAGAAACGTAGGCCAAGAACAAACCCTGTCTTATGATGGACTTCTTAAAAGAGCAACAAGCCTGAATTCTCATGTCAGACGTAATGCTAAACAAACTATGGAAGGAGGGTCCCTGTCTTTTTTAGCT